GGTGATGGTGATGATGATGGTGGGGATGGTGATGACAATGATGATGAGGATGATGTTGCTAGTGATGGTGCTGACTTTTTTTTTTCACTTTTCCTGATGTATCTTTCTTGTTGATACTCCACTAATGATTCCATCCTGGTTGAGGCTGGCAAGTTCTCTGCCTTGCATCCTTTCTGTCCAGAGGGCATTTCATAACCTCAGCCAGGTCTGCGGGGGGCACAGTTTTATAGCCTTCCTGAGAGCCTTCAAACCCTCCCCTCCGCTGTGTCCTTTCAGGGGTCCCCTCCTGCTCCCTGTCCATAATCACTTCCCACACCCTCCGTTTTCTACTTTCAGTAGACAGTTTTAATTCCAGCTTGGGACAGTAATCTAAAAATGGCCTTCCCAAGACCACACTGGAAATAGACAAGATTTTTTTTTCATTAGAGCACTTTGTGCTATTTGGTTTTGTATTATCTGTTTTGTTTTGTATTATCCTGTGCACAAAGTCCAGCCTCCCGGACAGTTTTGCAAACTTCTTGAGACCGATGACTGCATCTTTACTTTGCCAAATGCAGGTGAAACTCTACAAATATCCTGCATCTTGTGAATGGAAGGATGTTTCTTTTATCAACAGCATGCACTGGACCCAGGGGATACTGTGCTTGATAACAAATGTGAGTTGAATGTTTTGTTTAAAAAAATGGAGCATTTGCCATTGAGCCCTAGTTTAATATTTATGACAGCATCGTGGGGTGAACACTGCCATTTGTCCCGTGGTACAGATGTGGACATGTGGACTCAGAAGGCTTAAGTGGGTTGCCCAACGTCATACCAGCTACTACTTAAGATAACACATATGACTGCCTGGTAAAGGGTATTGTTTTGTTAGTCTTATTATTATTGCTGCTGTCACATTATCCTCTACTTCTCTCCCAGCACCCAGAAAAATTCTGTTGTCTGAAGGCCTTCAGTAGATATGCAACAGGAAAATCTTGCACGAGTCCAGCTGCAGTTGGGAAAGGCAAATCACTCCATTTTTAGTTTTCTTCTTGATTGCTCCCAGTCCACGGATGCCTCACCCCCCGCCTCTCACACCACCACTCTGGGTGACTACACTCTCCCTTCTGTGACTCAAAACCGCTCATCAAGGTCCCACGAGGATTCCACCTTGACCTTGTAGGTTAAGAATCTGGGGCTTCATCTGCCCACTTCAATGGAAATCGTGAGTTAGAGACTTCTGACCCTTCGCGTGTAACACGTAACTAAGCTAACAGCCAAGAAGTCAGATCCAATTTTCCAAGTAAAACCAATGCCCAGCTATTTATGAGGTTTCCATTCAGGGCAGAGTTCCTGACTTCTAAGCATTCAGGCCAAACAATCAAAGGGACTTTCCCGTTGTCAAATGAGTCCTTTAGAATAATGACTAGCTTTTTGAAAGTCAGAGATCACCTTGTTTTTTTAATTGTGGTAAAATGCATGTAACAAAATGAATCATTTTAAAGTGTACAATTCAGTGGCATTTAGTCCATCCGCAACGTTGTGCAAATGCCACCTTTACCTAGTTCCAACCATCATCACCCCAAAAGAAGACCCCCGTGTCCGTACGCCATCATCGTCCCCCTCCAACCCCCCCTCCTCAGAGGCCCTGCGGACCAGCAACCTGCCTTCTGTCTCTGTGGATTTACCTCTCTGGTGCGTTTCCTATGCTGTGTCGTTTCGGTGCCCGGCTTCCTTCACTTAACCTGGTGTTTCCAAGGTCCGTCCACACAGTCCCTCGTTGCTTTTTATGTCTGGACACTATTCCATTGTATGGCCTGAACACAACTGTGTCTGGACCCCTCACCCATTGATGGGTATTTGGGCTGCTTCCACGGGGGTCACTTTCAAGGAGGCAGCTCAGAAACAGCTCTGGGCTGGGGGCCTTCTTGGTGAAACTGCTCTGTTACTGTCCCCTCTGAAGCCCCAGGCCTTCCCTGGGGAACCTGGCTCACGGGGCTGGTGGGAGAATTGGTTCCCCACCCTCCCTCAGACCTAGGGTCTCAGGGGGGCCTCCAGTGAGGTTTGGGAGAGGCTTCCTCCACGTGGAGCCTGGAGACCTCTCCTACCCTAGGAATAGATTTGGCCTCAGGAGCAGCTGCAGAATGCCGGCCCCACCCTCGGTGACCGGCTTGTCACCGGGCTCCAGGGTTCACTTCGGTGACCCTCCAGCGGCTGTGGCCCTGGAGGTGCTGACTAGTGCAGGGCGGGAGTGGGGGTTCCGAGCAGGCCCTGTTCGCCTGCACCCATCAAGACCCTGGGGAAGGCAGCCGTGGGTGTGCAGAGGAAGCTGCTTCTAAGCTGCCACAAGGGTGCGTCTGCAGTGTGAAGGAGCATCCGCGAGACATGGCTGCAAATAGACTGGGGCCCTAAGTTGGGACTTGACACGTGGGACTGGGAAGGGCATGGGAGGAGCCCCAGGCGGCCCCAGCCAGCTGGAGCTGCACCCAGCTTTCCAGGCCAGGTGTCAGATCTGCAGGGCTGGCTCTGGGGAACTTGGTGTCCCAGGGCCCCACGAAGGCTCGGGAAGGAATGGCGTCCCTGGCCCTGCCAGTGGGCAGAATCTGCTGCCTGGGGTCAGGCCACCAGGGAGGCAAGGGCAGAGTCACCTGGCCAGGAGGAGCCCGAACTTCCCTGGGCCAGGCCTCCTGCTGGGAGGAATGCTCAGCCGCCAGCTGGGACGGCCCGCCGCCTCCCCCGGCTGGGCCTGGGCGCAGCTGGAGAGGCCGGACAGCTGGTCCTGGGAAGCTGCGTGTGAGCGAGAGTGCAGACCGCGTGTGAGCGTTAACGAGCGTGAGTGAGTGAGGATGTGGGAGAGGGTGTGGATGCGTGCAGACGAGTGTTACAGAGTGTGTACGTGGGGTGTGTACGTGTGCCGTGCATGCACACGCGCTGAGTGTGTATACATGTGCAAACAAGTGTTGGCCGTGTGCATGTGTATCTGTGTGAACAAATGTGTG